CTCGGATTCTCCAGCATCTGCAGTTCCTACTATCTCTGAAATAATTCAGCCTGATTTCAGGGCTTTGCAATATAAACATCCATAACTTCACAAGATTTTTTTTTACGGGTGAAATAAGAAGCCCTTTCCAAATGACTAAACATTCACATCTACCTGTTGTGTCTCAATGTTGTCTCGTAAGTATAGGGCAAAAGTGTACCAACTTCCATATGCTTGATCCCCATCTGGAAGAAATGTGGAAAACCAATGGCTTGTGCATAGTTTCATCACATTTGTGCTTTTGTTTGAAACGAGGAACTGGCCTTATGCGTGGGCTTTTGCACCAACTGTTCTTGGAGACTATTAGAAGGTCTGGCTTAGACACACACACACACGCAAACACTTTACTTTAAGGTCTCCTTGGTGGATGATTACGTCCTGTGTAATCTCCTGCAGAGTATTTGCCTGCTTTACTAGAAATGCACGTGACTTATAATGGAATTCCCAGACCTGTAGCCTCCTGTTTTGGAAGAATCTACACTTTAGCCTATTACTGAAAATAACTATGATAAAGATCATACCCCAGGGCAGTCATTTGTGTTACTGTTTCTTTACTTCAAACACACCAATAATGATCTTTTGAAACATGTTCTCTGTCATGAGATCCTGAGTTTAATTCTTAGTCTGAATATTTCCTCTAGGTACAAAACAGCTGCCAGCAAGGACTGTTTCTCTTATGTTAAAGGGAAATTCCAGGCTCCAAAGTAACTTTATTTAATAAAGATAGCATTTCCAATGTTTGATTTGTGACAATAATTCATTTTCACAAGTTCCTTTGTGACTTAAGTTTCAAAATGGACATTTTTCAATAAGCAGGTGACATCAATTATGTCGTTTGAGAAGAGTGTAGAGAATTTATTTTCACCACATGGTGCTTTCAGAGTGATGTCTCATTGAAATGGAAACCTGTAAAACCCTGCTGTGTTAAATTAGTCCACTTTACGGTCTGGCAATTAATATGGTTAGAACCACTATTTAGGAAGAAAAGGCTTGTATTTATACAGTGTTTTTCAGGACTTCAGGACATTCCAGACTAAAAAGGTGAAGTCACCACAGGTCCAGAGGACCATAGGGCTGCTCTTTCATTAGAGAGAGAGATGACTGGTGGAGGTAAACCTGAGGATCACCACAC